GAACGACGCTTAATCCCTGGGCGTTATAAAATGCTTGAACTAGGTCATGTCGCGCACCTCGCACACGTGATGATGATAGTGTTTTCATGATCGGACAAAATTAAGAAACTTCGACTAAGTAGTTATAATTATAAATCTTAAATTACTGGTTCAAATTGCATAAATTTTAAATATACGGTGTTTATACAATGCCTGCTTCGTTACTGAAAATTCAGGGTTCTAGTTTTATCCACAACGAAGTTATAGGGGGTCGAAAATGACCTGAACTGCTTCGAGAAAAGGATGGTACGGGCGTGCCGCTTTTTTGCTCGACTTGGCGGTTCACTGTCGTGCCCCCAGATCAATTGCTGTCGGTTAGTCTCGCTAAAACTCGAAACTGACTCGACCAATTCTAATGAATTTTTTAGTGTTGTGTGTATGAGTAGGTCCCTGGATGGTTTATATTCACTATTGGACCCGGTAGGTGGCGCCGTTGTCGAGATCCAGAAATCACCCGTGCGAAGCCGGGGCGGATCGCTAGTCGGAAATAGATCCAAACACATAACACTCGTATTAATTCATTTTTTTAAAATAAGTTAAAATCATTATATTCTTAACAAACGTTTTTTATGACGTCATACAGCTGAATAAAGCGATAAAATGTTTGCTTTGCACAGATCCACTCGTACAACCTTGTCACTGTTAGTATAGTAGTTGCAGTGCCACATGTCGCTTCTTCTTGTCTCATATTGTGTTTACGCTGCAGTAAAGGTTAGATTTACATTGCTTACTTTTCATTTAATCAATTTGACACTGTAAGAACATTTTCTTTTTTAAATAGGTAGGTTTTTTTTAAACTTCTTGGTGTTCCTGTTCCTGATCCGGTGTTCATTTTTCTTCGGTGTTCCTGAGGTTTTAAAATAACTTCATTCTCCGCATTTCCTAACCCAGAGAGTCCAAAGATCAAAACAATATTTCTATTAGTCAAGTCCAATATATTTGTGTATGGTTTTGGGATTTGTAGATACTGATGGCGGAAGAAATTTTTATTGGAAACTGCAACTCGTTAAATTTTAAAATCACTTGTTTAAACCTACCTATGTTTGACAAATAAACTATTAGAGAATACAGCACCAAGAACACAAACGTAGTTAATTTTATACGATGAAAAAATATTATGCATTCTTCACTCTGAAGTGTATCCAGTTCAGGAATGCGTGGCCGTCAGGCATTTCTACTTAATTAATATAATAGGCAATTATAGTGTTACAAAAAGAAAGTAACAAATCGCTAAGATTTTTTTAAGTAGAATATTATAAACTAAGATATACTGTTACCGTTACAGCCTATTAAAGTCTACTGCTGTACATAGGCCTCCCCCATAGATACCTCATAGTGGTGATATTTGCCATAGTTGCCACGCTTGGCGTAAGCGTGTTGGCAAGCGCAGTTTTATTTTTATTTTTAGTCGTTATTGGGAAGACGCCGCTTCTCATCTCCTGATTTGTTTCTCTCTGTCGCCTCTTACGACACCCACGGGGCGATATTATGAGGTAGTGGATATTCTTAAACTGCCAATACTTGAAATAAAAAAAATTATTAAGGCATGTCAACAATTTTATTTTTACGTGGTAGAGCCATGCTTCAGCTGTATTAGTAGTATACTTGTACCACGAATGGGTCGGCTCCACCGGGAAAGGACCACGCTGTCACACAATATCAGCGTAAAATAGCAGTTTAACACTGCTGTGTTTCGTATGGTGAGTGTAGAGAACCGGAGACCCTTTTTACTGGAAAAGTAGCATTCCATCTTAGTCCTCACGGCTGACAACGCATCTGCATTTTGCTCGTTTGCCACTCTTATTCAATTAAAAAAATCATACTAGTTACTTAATTAGCCATATTTGCCACGCTTGGCAGGTTGGTTTGCAATCGCATTTATTTATTATTTTGAGTTGTTATCAGGAATGTGCTGCTGCATACATCCTGTCCCACGTCCCTCTATTGCCTTCACAAATATTATTGTTTTGGCTAACCGTGATTCAAGTGGCGCGATGCTTTTTGGACGTGCCTACAATTGAGACGTAGCAAGAGTACATTAAAAATGACATTGACTTGAATACTAGAAATGTTCAATGAAATTATTCTATTTACAGCTTAGTTTTTACTATAAAATAAGGGTGACAAACAAACACACAGTCCACCTGATGGTAGTGAATGCTGTGGCTCATAGACATTACATCTATTCTTAAGAATCAAAATATAAATGCGTTGTCAACCCTGACGACTAAGATTAAATAAATCGCTGCAGCTTACAGGTGCTATTTTACGCGAGTATTCTGTGAGAGCGTGGCCGAGCCGACTCTTTCGTGCTATAACCACAATACACCTGTAGCATGGCTCCACCAGGTAAAAATAATCAGTTGACAGCTCTTGACCGTTTTCCGGTTCACGTCGCTATAGTCAAAATCGTGACCTTAATGTAATAATAATAGTGTTCTCCAGTCTGAATTTTGGTCACGGCGGCCAGTTTCAACGGAGACTAGCCATCTGCGCACGACAGGATTATAGTGCACGAGTGTATGTGCAAGCACAGGTGCACTCTCTATTCCCTCACACTCAAAGTCCGTTAGAACGGTAAACCGACACAAGCGGAGAGAGATCAGGCCATACCACATTGTATCAGATTATATAGCTCTCATCGAGCCGTATTACTGAATACATTGCTGTTGTAACTGGGCGGTTACAGTAACTGAAATAGCCCGCAAGGTCGCCCCGCTCAATGGACGTAGGCGCGTTCATAGGGCTGACTAGGGTTGCCAACTCTGCTATTATAGAATTTCGAATAAATTCCAAAAAATATGTAGTTGATTGTCTTATTATATTTCAAAAAGGGATGACATTGGCGTAAGACTGTTAATAAAGGCTAAGAGCAGCAAAAAAACAGAGGCAGTCATATGGACTGCTGACAGCAGAGAAAACTCAATTATATATGCGTATAAATGTACACAGGCCACTATAACGACGCAACGCGTAGTAGACATGTTCGTGGCGTCACGAGCATGTCGAGGTCATCGGTGACGCGAACATAATAACTTTTTCTCTTGCCAAACATCGCTCAACGCGGCTAAAGAAGTTTTCACATCGAAAAATGTCGGCGTACGGCTACGTCGTGGTCACGGCCGTGTATTTTACGTGAATACGGGTACGTAACGAAACTACCTCAAAATGGCGGCGCTCCCTCCTCCTTCGCACGCGATGTGTCACAGTCCTCACTCAATGTAACGAACTCATTGATCCTTTAGCTATCGAGAGGTGTAATGAAATATTGGATGTTGACCATAGATATGTAACTGCAACCCCAAACTATACCCCGATTTTGTTATCATCAAATTTCTGAATTCCTTCCCACTATATTAGTGCAAATTTACACTTTTTTTATTGATTCCCGACGTTTTTTTCCCGTGACCATGGGTGCTGTAAGGTACCCGAAAAGTCGGCATTCAATAAAAAAAAAATAAGTTAATTAAATGCAATACAATCCGTAAAAGTAGTTTTATTCAATGTGTAGTGTTCGCGTAAATATAAGAAATCACAAGAAATTACGTCAAAATTCCTTTAAAACATTTATTTGATAAAAAAGGATAAAACAAACAGTATATTATGTACTTGTTTCTGCTATTATTATTTATGTATAGGTAATAAAAACTTGGCAACCCTAGCTTACACGACGAGCGGACGCACCTTAAAAAAAGTATTTCAAAGTAAACAGTGCTCCTAGCAATAACGTGTATAGGCTGCTTTTTGTTAATTTCCTGTAATTTTTATTAAAAAAGCATAGTTTTTCTTTCACAGCCAATCACGTGGTAAATGAGTACTTAAAATTGCAATTAACAATTTTATTTATTTAAACCTATGCACTTTTTCATGTGTATGTGACTTAATTTAGTACCTTTATTAACACATAAATAGCTATTAAGTTATTGTTTGGATCACAGTTACGTCATGCTGACGCATCCTAAATTCATTGTCCGAGCGTAGACGTTCTATGTGTGTGTAGTACACATACATACATTGTGGACTACACAGCTTCCGATGGACTGCGATGACGTAATGTGACTTTTTATTAAAGTAGACAAGAGTAGAGCGGACGGTCACAGAATAAATAATGGTAGTACAGTCCACCTGATAGTAAGAAATTACTGGTACACTGTACTGGTTTTTTCTCAAACTGTTTCGCTGTTACGGCTGCACGACTCTGGAATGCGCTTCCCTTAGCAATAAGAAAATTCCCTAACACGTGGATTTTTAATACAAAAGTAAAAGAACATGGGCTCATCTGACATCTAAATATACATCATATACAGGTTGTCCCAGTAATGGTGGATAATCTGGTACGTACGTGTTCAGGGGCGGGGGAGGTGGCCTCGGTTTCGTAAAAAAAATTCTATCCCGAACGGTTCCCAGTCTACGCCATGTTTTATAAAATTCCGAAAATTCGTACTTCTGCTCACATTTGTGGTCATCATGTCCACAGTTTAATGCCGGGATCGGATTTTTTTCTTTTAATGTGTTCCCTAATAATGATGTTTCTAAATTACCCTTAAAAGTTTCCAACTACTATGGGTAGTATTTTACAAGACATTTCCTTCTCATACGAACTTGGTGTGCCACATATAGGCATCTTATAATTATCGCCATCTGCGTCAGTATCACTCATCTTTGAATACCGCTTGCTTAAATTAAATATTATTTTTATTTTCATTTAGTGAAAAGAGAGAGACAGAGAACATCTTTAGGAATAAAAAATAGCTTTAGAACGTAAGTGCACACAGACGTTAGTAGGCTAGTTCTTTAGGTTTTGTTTTATGCTTATTCTTTATTGCACATACATTTTAAATATTTAAATTACGGGGTACAAAAAAGCGAGTCTAACCCTAATAATAGTACTCTTGTTTTAAAATACTCGTACAAGTTTTAAAATTTTCTGTGTTTTGATGAAGTCCTATCTTTTGTTCCAGATTGTGCATGACTTCAGGGCGGCCTACGTCTTACTGACTCAACTTCCAACACGACACACTAAGTAAGGATACCTAGCCGTTTACTGTGGTTTTGTTTGCATTGTGTTAGGTTTCATTGTATGCAATTAGGGATGTAACGGAAGCGGTTATATCGGAACCGAATTCGGAAGCGGAGTTTTAAATTTTGTTTATCGGAACCGGAACCGGAATCGGAGGTGGAGGCAGAAGAGATGTGTTAAGGGCAGGTGTATTGCAATGTATTTTTCTTTTCAGTTTCAAATTTTTTGAATTCTTCGAATTAAGCGGTATGCACAGACTTTAAATGACTTTTTAACGAAGTATTCTTACCTCCTTTTCGTGAATACATATTCTCACATAGTTTACACTTTGCCGTATTCTCAGAAACTTCATTGGAAAATTCCAAATAGAACTTGATTTTGGCTTCATTGTCCAATTCAAATAAAGTTGTTACACGTCAAATAAAACACTATTGAAACTAATCAAAAACTCGGATAAGTATTTGCCAAATACGAAACAAAACATCTAGTTAAAGAGTAATCGACAAAAGGCACGGGGGGAGGGAGGTTCCAGGGGCAACAAGTATAAAATTGTTTGTACACGCTGATCGCGGCTCCCCTCCAATCATCGTCTCATCAGCCTTCTCAAGGCCATGGGCAAACTCTTCGAACGAATTATCCTTACTCGCATGAGGCTCCATCTATTTCCCACAGACGGCGATCCTCTTGTCATCCCCCACCAATTTGGTTTCTGAACGAAACATTCATGTCCCCAACAAGTTCACCGTATTGTGGAATATATCCTCAGCGGTTTCTATCCTCGTCGTCATAAGACCATCGCGGTCTTTTTCGACATAGCAAAGGCATTCGATAGAGTCTGGGACGAAGGCCTTATCTACAAACTGTATAAAATAGGTCTCCCTGATCGTCTTGTTCGTCTCGTGGCCTCTTACCTGAAGGATCGTACCGCACCCTGGTACGTCCGTAACGCCGACCTCCATCGAGACTTAGGGCTCCCCACAATCCAACAATTTCTAAAAACAGTCGCTGAGAATTTTTAAAATACGTTGTGTGATTATTTTTTCATTAATACATCAGGTGAGTGACCGCTTGATGTTACTAAATAGGTACTATCTGTTCGAGCTATTATAATATATATATATATATATATAGTTTAATATTTATGTAACGTTTCTGTAAATAATATGCTAACGGCTTTCGGTTGATTTTATTGACGCCCGATTAATGCAAAAAAATCCGAATAGCCCATTTCCATTTATCTATTCCATTAGGCTATCTAATAGGTGTAATTAAATTTATTTATATAAAAGAGCCAGTTTAAATTTTTAATATAATTTAAATTAGTAACACTAATATGTCAAAGTAGTTTACTTTTTTTTGCCGCGTTTTATGTAATGGTGAATGGAAGACCGGATATGCGTGGAATATAGAGGAGCGGAAACAATCACTATTAAAGATAAAACTTTGAGTAGTGGTCTCCTATTCATCTGGGTTAGTACCACCTTCTTACGTATTCCTGCCACCAAGAAGGGGCGAGTCATTATGATCATAAGCTGTGGGGCATTTGATCTCAGTCCTCAGAAGTGACAACGGGTATATAGTCGTCAGTATTCAAAGTTGACTGGTTTATGGTCACTTTCTATCTATTCTACTACCGAAAAATGTTGCAGAAAAAAAATCTTTAATTTAGCTAGTCTAATCTATAAATCTATACAAATACATAAAATTGAAGTGTCTGTTTATAATGTCAAAATAACAGCTTTTTACTAATTGCATATGAAAGTATATACGGTACTTATAACAAAAATTTAATTTTTAAAGTTTTTGTATATCTGTCTGTCTGTCTTTTTGTTCCGGCTAATCTCCGAAACGGCTGGATTTATCTTGACGGGACTTTCACTGTTAGATAGCTCATGTTACAAGGGGTAACTTAGGCTACTTATATTTTTAAAGAGAATTAGAGTTCCGCGCAACAAAACTAAAACCCTAAATTACACGCGGGCAAAGTCGCGGGGAACACCTTGTAGATAATAAAAATGACTCAAACCAGAGACCTCCAAATTCTATAGTGGAACTGTTAGAAGGTTGCATCCTAAAAATCTGATCTTATCTTCCTAATAAATAAACATTCAATTTCTGTTGCTTCAACATCAATAACATGGTTTCTACCCGTTCCAAATTCCGCTTACAAGCTTTATCTGCCTCCGTGAAGATAGGAATGACCATGAACCTATTGTATTATTATCCTTAGACTGCACTTATACGTGGTAGAATTATGCTGAAGCTATATCATAGTTCTAGCACGAATAGGTCGGCTCGACCGGGGAAGGACCACGCTCTCACAACCAGCGTAAAGTAGCAGTTCAATGCTGCTGTTTCGTATGGTGAGTGTAGGCAACTAGAGACCGTTTTTACTGGATATGAGGCAATCCATTTTAGTCCTCACTGGTGACAACGCATCTGCATTTTGATTCTTAATTAAAGACGATAGTTGTTGACAGTTGTAGATGTCTGTAGGGCGCGCGATGTGCTCGCTTGTCACCATTATACTATAAAAATAATTGGACTGTAAGTTTACCATTCAAATATTATATTTAGCGTATTATTCACTTATTATCAGATGACTATGTGTTCATTTATAACCCTTATTTTATAAAAAGTAGTGTGCCCCGACCCTTTAATAGTTATCGATCTCTGATTGTACATCCCTCTCAATAACTAAAAAGGGGAATATTTATCAAGAGGGATGCATTTTGTCTAGACCTTTATGCATGTGAAGTATCACCCGTATTATGGAGGCGACGCCACTCGTTTTATTTGAGACGTACAGTTTTTTTTTACTATTCATCGATTTTATAGGGTTTAACCAACGTCACGATTGTAATTTATACAATCGTACCTGGTGTTTTCCGTGGCAATTAGTAGCTCAGGGGATCCCATAGTCACGGAGATGGGGTGCTTGACGTCCTATTGACACAGTTAACTAGCCCGGTCAATTGTTCGTTATTTTGTTTTAAAATCACCAAGTTTTTTTTAGATAAAATATAGCCTAGATCACTCCTGGCATTACTCTCTATCTGTTCGTGAAGTTTCATTACAATCGTTTCGGCCGTTCCGAAGATTATCCTGGATGAGGTGCTTTACGTCCTACCTTCAGATAATTTTAAGCCCAGATCTACGCAGAACGAGCGTATGGTATCAAAGTGTTGAGGTGGTATGCTTGGGTTTGAATATATTCTCTATTAAAAGGAAGCCCCGTTATCAAAAGTCATACAAATGGTCTCATATTCTCAAACTGTACCTGAAAAAATGTTTTGTTTTGTTACAGCCATTATATAAATTGTCAGCGGCACAATTGCAGCTAATATTATCTAAAGGTATTTATTTTAATTTTTGTATATTACAAGAGAGGCAAAAAGAGCAAGCGGGTCACCTGATGACTAAGTGATTTCACCGCTGCCCATAGACACAAGAAACAACAGGAGTGTTACTTGTGCGTTGTCTTCTCATAAGGTATAGGAACAGGATTCGTAGGAATGGGAGTAGGAACTTAAAGAAAAGGGAAAGACCACCAGACACTCGTTAGTAAATGCAACTCCTGGAACAATGCAACGTCACATCGGTTTATCTAGCAAACGTCAACATTCGGGTGGCCTTAAGAAAAGGGGAAAAGAAACGGGCATCCGGAACTCTCACTCATCAGACGAAACATGGCAGCGACTAATAAGCTAAACACTTCACGCTGATTTTCTGTGAGAGGGTAGTATCGCACCGGTCGACCCTGCTCATTTATGTGATACAGTGAACTGTAGACGTGGATCTACTACAAATTTTTTATTAATGTTTAGATAATATTTTTTTAGAAGTGTTTCTATGTTTTTAGTTGTGGCATTTTGAATTAAATTTTAATTTAATTTAAGTTAAGTGGCGCAGTGGCTGAGCAACGAGTTGCTAAGCCACTGCGCCACGCAGAATATTAGAATCCCGCACGGAACAAGTATTTGTATAATAATAATAATAATTCTTTATTTACTTCACAAGGTACTTTAACATAAATAAGTGGCTATTTGTATGGCTTACAAATAATTGTTCCGGGTCTGGATGTTTGTCCTTGTGAAATTTATATAATATGTTAACTGCCCCCACGATACAGGAGAAAATCATATTGTAGAGATATCGTTTTTTTAAAGAAAAAAAATAAAAGAAAGAAAAAAGTCTTCTATATGTAGTCCACCGTAAATGTATTCTGTGTTCTAATACCTTTTGTCGTGAACCCCTTTCGCTCTCTACCGTCCATTGTAACTGAACTCCCCCGTAGTAATGAACACCCCTTGTTAAGTCGCTCATCCGACGGTAAATTCACCCCTGTCTAAACCTGTGATGTCTGACTTTTGGCTGCCTGTTTTCAAGATAATTACTGCGATGCATTCCATTTTACACGCTTTAATAAGTTTAACCTGTATGATGTGTATGTATTATATGAATGTAATGGAATTTTGAAGTTATACTTCTTTTGGGGCGTTTGGAAAAAACGATGAGAGTGAATTTTTATGACGCGCGCGCACACCGACACCTAAAAGCGACACCATGAAGTTTTTACGAAGATTTTACACTGACACTTAAAAGCGACAACTTAGTGGGTAATTGTTTCTCAACTTTTTTGTTTTGTTACGCTTAAGAAGTATAAATTCCTACGTGCGTACATAAGTATACACATACTTTTTTATTAAGACATATTTAAGATGTGGTAGTAGAGCCATGCTGAAGCTAGGTTATGGTTGTTTGAAGAATGTGTTTGCTCGACTGGGAATGTCTATGCTTTTACATAATACCAGCATAAAATAGTAGCTTAATGTTGCTGTATTTCGTATGTAAAGTGTAGAGAGCGGGAAACCCTTTTTTTAGGAGAGGGGGCAAACGAACATGCGCCTCACCTGGTGATAAGTGATTACCGCCACCCATGAACAACTGCAACACATGCGTTGCCGGCCTTTTAAAAAGGAGTAGGCTGTTTTCTTGAAGGA